AATAAATGAAAAATTTATGCAAAAAAAAAAAAATTATTTTTTATAGCTTTAACATTCATTTTATACTTAAAATATTTAAACTATGTTACAAATAGTACTGACAGATTAAATATTTCAAAAGCTGCACAGAAATGATAATATTTATTAAAACTACATTTACTTATACGCAATTGTTGTAACATAATATTTAAAATAATACATGACAGTTATACAAAATAATATTTTGATTATATAAAATAAAAAATTAAATCTTAGTGACAGATAAAAATTAGAAGGTTTTACTTAAATTATAATTTTTATTAAATTTTTTAAATAATAGAAAAAATAAAGACTGATACATTATTTTAAATAAAATTATTTTTTTGTTTTATTTCTTTTAAAAAACAAATATATTTTTTTAATTTATTAACTAAAAATCCTAAATTAAATTTTTTATAAAAAAGTATAAAATAGTTTAAAAATGTTACCCATGAAATTTTTATTTTTGATAGTTTGTCTTTTGTTTTGTGAAGATTTAAAAGATTTGTTAAAAGAAAGACTCAACAGAGAGAAATTTGAACCTGTAAGTGCTGGTTTTTTACAAAATAAGTATAATATTGCTTATAAGATTATATTTAATTATACAAATTTAAAATGTAGAACATTTGAGTTAGGAAATAGTAACGCGATCACTATCTTTAAACAAAAAAAATTTTTAGAATCCGAATATAATTTTTTTCCCGATTTAGAAACCGAAATACTTAAAAATATTTATTTCAACAAAAATGAAGAAAAAAATTCTACTGTACATTTTACATTTTTTAACATTTATGATAAAAAAATACAAAATATATATCAACAGACATTTAATTCTATCATAAGAGAACATCCAAATTTATGTATAATTCCAGAATTGGATTTATGCAGTTTTCCACAACTTAGTTGGAATTTTTTAACTTTAGATGAAAATTATCAGCCAGCATTTCATATTCCATGTATCAAATATGGTAGAATAGATACAATAAAAATAGCAGGGAAAGATCTTAATCTAGTAGATCACTTTAAAAATAATTTATTACAAGTAATAAAATATGACATTGACCAAAAAGAGTTTAATAGGTTTTTTGATGATTTTGATTTTGTTAAATTTGTATATTATAATCCGATTAATGATATTGGACTACTTGATGAATCAAAAAAGATTTGTGAAGCGGAAAAAGATGAGTGTTATGATATAAATGAGTGCTTAGATTGTCAACGGAAAAACATAACTGCTGATTGGAACGAGAAAATGGAACAAAATCAAGAATCAAAAGATATTCTTAGTGAATCTGAAAAATTTATTGATGAATTTTTAAATATTACCTCGGCCAAAGCATGTGCAATTATGATTTTGTATAATACACTTTCAAAGGATACCATCAGGGCTATCATTGATAGAATTGCTAGTGATACAT